AATACAGGACCTGATACAAAAGTGGATAGTCCCTATACAAACAAAAGTCTGTGAACCTGGGAAGGCAAGGCCATTCACAAGACCAAGTAAGAGTGCTGAGGCATCTTCTGAAATGAATAGGACACTCACAGAAGTGAGGAGCAGGAGGCATGTGTCAGCCAAAGTCTCAGAGCACAGAGGGAAAATCTTAAACACGTCGTAGAAGTGCTTGGTCCACCCTAACTGGAAGCTCTTGAAAAAAAAATGCACTGACTAAAAGGGTCCCTTTTTCTTCTTGGCATCTCAGGAGCAAAGGCGGGCTTCCCAGCTGGCACTAGTGGTAAAGAACCTGCCTGCCATTGCAGGAGACATAAGAGATGCGGGTTCTATCCCTGGTTGGTAAGATCCCCTGAAGGAGGAAATAGCAACCCCCTCCAGTATTCTTGCCTGGGAAACTCCATAGACAGGAGACTGGTGGGTTACAGTCCATGGGGTCGCAAAGAGCTGGACATCAGCCATGACTTAGCAACCGAGCACACACACGCAGGAGCAAAGGCAGACACCTCTGTCCTGTATCTTCAAGCGCTGATCAGTGACTGGGTTGAGGATACTGGGGGTCGTGCTTAGCACACCTGTGATTTCACGGCTAATACAATAAAAACCAAATCAGTCTTGCCTTTCTAGTAACAGAGTGACCTGGATAATATGAAACCTCCAAAGGGAGGTAATTCAGGGGGAAGTATCACCCACAACCTTCTAAATGTATCCTGAATGATCAGTAGAACAGAGAACTGAATTATTTTGAAGTTACTAAAGAAAAACAAAGTGGTCTCTTTTCCCACTATAATGAATAGAATCGTGTTTGTATTTCCATTTGACCCAGTTCTAGAAGGGACATAAAGTCTACTCTTGAAAGGAAACTACACTTAAGATTAATAAGACTTCAAGCCATCACATATTAGATTTATGAGAACTTTCCTGACATATGATTTGCGTCCCCTGGCAACTGGGAGGAGACCAGGATCAGCAAAATGTATGTCACGAAGAGACGTTATTCCCACCACTGCCAGAAACTCATGGAAACCGGCAGGAGTGAGTCACAGTGTGGCTTGTCACCAAGTCCTCCTTTCTGCTGGGGATCAGCGTTCTACTGTTAAGATGAAACAGAACCTCACTCACTCTGTTCATCTGTTATTTGCAAGAATTCCCAGAGAAGCAGCAGTCTCACCTCATCTCTCCACAAATATTTGGTCGCCGAGAGCAATGGCGAGCTCTCAAATCATGAAGACTTGGCTACTTTGACAAGAGGACCCAGCCACCAGCACACATCACAGGATGTCAGGCAGCGCCCACTGGCACTCAATGGGTGGACTGGATTTATTCACACAGTCCCCTTCTGCCGAGGCACTTCAGGAGCCTCATTAACCTCACAGCCTGGGAGGAGGATCTGGTGAAGAATGGAGCCCCTTTGAGAAGGACTGCTGAGGTTCCAGGAGGCAAAGTCCCCCCTCCCTCCGGGGAGACCCCCTGAAGTCACTGTCTTTGGGGGTGTCGGCAACACTCCAGAGAGCTTGGCCAGGTTTAAAAACAGCGCCGTCCCCTTGATCCCAACTGCAAGGTGACTGTTAGTGTTAAGTGCTTAGAACTGACTGGTGAGGGGGAGTAGGCTGCCACCCCCAAAACCTGCCTCTTGGGCAAGTAGGATTTTGAGTTGATTAAGGAACAGCACACAAGGAAAAGCTGGATACAGAGAAGTCCCACCCTTGCTGGGAACTTTTACACTCGTAAGGGAGATCTCCTAGTGTTAAGTGTCTTTTTTTCTCTGTACCAGGAAGAGAAATATGACTAAGTCACAGGAGAATCCTACTCTGCATAACGACCTTCCCCTGGCTTACCAGGCATTTCCTGGCTCCCTCCCACAAGGGGAACCTCCTCTCCTGGGCATGTTTTATCGTTAGTATTTAAGGTGGGGCTTGGGAGTCACTCATTTTTCTTGAGCATCTCCTATGTATACAGGAGAGATATATGTTATTGAACTGCTTCTTCTTTATTAGTCTGTTCTTTATCCTAAGGGGGATCTCAGCCAGGAACCTAGAAGAATAAAGGGAAAGTGATTTTTCTCCCCTACACCCCACACCCTAAGCGTGCACACATACTAAGTTGCTTAGTCCTGTCTGACTCTTTGCACCCGTCTGGACCATAGCTTGCTAGGCTCCTCCGTCCCTGGGATTCACCAGGCAAGAGTACAGGAGTGGGCTGCCACACCCTCCTCCAGAGGATCTTCCAGACCCAGGGATCGAAGCTGCGTCTCTTACGTCTCCTTCACTAGCAGGTGGGTTCTCTACCACTAGTGCCACCTGGGAAGCACCCCACACCCTGTAATACTCGGCAAATATAAGTTACGATTTCCATGATGCTGCTGCTGCCTCAGCTGGCTGAGAGTCCCGCCTGCACCACGAGGACACGATGGAGAGAGCTCAGCAGTGGAGCGAAGCTGTGGGCCTCTCGTGCCAGAGAGGAAGTGAGAGGCGTTTAAGAGGCTCTGGAGAAACTCACAAGCTATTTATTACGTATCACAAGCCAGGCCCTGCTCATCAACGGGACCCAGGCCCAGAAGCAAGGGGCACAGGCAGACAGGTAGAGGTTGTGGGGTGCAGAGAAGTGTACCTGGTTCACAGAGCAATAATGAGAAAACACAAAAGAACATGAAGAGAGTCACGGAGGAGGATTTTATTGTTTTCGATCGCAGACTTAGGCACAAGATTTTGTTATCCAACTTAAGCACTTAATGAAAGTGTTGCCAATGTTTCAAGGTTGTTATTTTGATTTAGGAACTGGGCTCTGGGCTATCCGTGATGATTACCCTTTATTATAGTAGATGCTCTTTCTTCCTTTTAACATCTACTCTGCAGAACGTTCTGTTCTCTGGTCATGCTGGAGTAAACAAGACCACCCAGACCTTTCTGCCAGAGAAGGCTTCCACACAGAGGTCTCTGTGCGGTACTAACAGAGAGGCAAGACACTGCAGCCGACAAAAGGTCTCTTTCTAACCTGCACCGCTGGGCCAGGATGCTAGGCCCTTCCTCCAGCTCTGGCCAAGTGTGACCATCCTTGCGAAAGGCAGGATGACAGTGACGGCTTCCTTAGCGTCTCCTGCTGGACTGAGAGTGAGCTTAAGTCTCAAAGCCTTAAGAAGTCACTGCCTGAAGTCACTGGAGTTGTTTAACTGTGGCATTAACTGTCCGTGGGCTCCAATCCTATAGACGGTGACATTAAGAGCACAAAGGCAGCCCTGCCCTACTACTTCCTCAGGGACCATCTGGAACAAACCTCCCATTTCATGAATTAGGAAAACTGAGCCCTAGAGAAGTGACCAGCCTCAAACTTAGAACTCAAGTTCACTGCTATGCCAGCACAAATACACTGGCTCCCTTCTCCTTGAACATAAATACTTAATTCGTGATTCACACAGCCTAGCTGTTTACAATTCAGAGAAAACTCAGAGTCCTTCATGAAATTTCTCCCAGGGAGTTAATATCGACAGTTTATTCCTCCAGTCTTAAAGATCTCCATATGGCTGTCTCTATATGCAATTTAATTACTGCCACTTTGCTTTGGTATCATCCCAACACATACATTCTACTGCTCCTCACTCCCTGGGGACAGGGGGGAGCCCCAGGCAGACTGCGGCTGAGGGTCACCAGTGTAAACAAAGGTGTTACCTCCTGCCCAGCGGCCCAGGTCATTAGGCAGCTGGGCATGAACCCCCAGTGGTAGGACTTACAGGCCAGAGTCATCATGAAAGGAAGTGCTTTGACATTCTTTTTTAACTTAAAACTGATTCAACACAGAAGCCCCCCAAAATCTACTTTCCATTAGAGTGGAACTGTTTTCTCCACACCTCTCACACCCCACATGCATCAGTTAGCCATTTTTCTTTCCTGGTGCCTGTCCTGCTGTTGAGAGCTTATTTCACTAATGAAAAGTATGACCTACTCTGGAATGCAACATATGCTAAGGAACTGCTCTAGTCACTGTGTGGAGACAAAGAATTAGCGCCCTATGGTGGGGGCGGCAGGCAGAAATTGGGGAAATCTTTCCTTCAACAAGAAGATGGCATAAATGTTCCACAGAAAGCAGCCATGTTTGGCTCAAGCCTCTGTTACTACCAGACTGAGTTGATACTCTTCACTAATGTGTGGAATGAAGACCCTAAAAACCCCACAGGCTTACGAGACTGGGGGTCAGTCACCTCTAATTCCCTCCCAGTGCCCTTCCATATGGACTGATGGTCATTTCAAGGGAGAGGTGAAAAAAGCAATCGACTAGTTTGGGCAGATTCGAAAGAGCAAACAGGAACTGTGCTCAAAAGGGGGAGGAGACGATATGAAAATAAAGGCTGCTCAGAGTCCCAATTTCGAAGAAAAAAAAGACTCCAGCATTTAACTTCCTTGCCTCAGAAGTTTCGGATTTACAGAAGCTAAAAGCAAAAAAAAAAAAAACCCAACACACACAAAATCAAACCACTTTTAAGGAAAAGCAGAATGCGAAAGAAACTGGAGGGAGGGGAAAAAGTCATATTGAGTGGTTAACGAAAAAAAAGATTTCCACTCCTTTGGTTCTTTTTTGTAATGCTGTCAGCCTACAATTAATCATTGCCAGGGCGCTGAGAACTCTGTGATTTGTCACTCTTTTGGCTCCTCGTTTTCTTTTCTAAAGCATCTGTGCATTCTAAGGAAGCATTCACAGCCCAAACTTTTGGGGACACATTGTTCAGCTGGGGTTCTTTCAAGTCAGTCTAATCTGCACGCAACTCCCACGGACTTGCGATGTTTTCGCGTAAAGAAAACAGGTGTCGCCCGTGCGGGGCTGAGTCTACCTCAGACCGCACGAGCCGACCCATCCCGGGGCGGGTCGCTGCCTCCCCGCCCGGCGCCCCGCGCGTCCCGCGCCCCGCGCCCGCGGGTTCGAGCCCGCCCTCTGGACCCGCGAGAGGAGAGAAAGTGGGAACGCGTCCGTACCGGCGGGCGGGTGTCCAGCTTTCGTCTCCAGCTTCCCCTCGGGAGGCGAAGACATGGTGCGAAGCCGGTTTCAGACGGACACGGACGGCGGCGGCGGGCTCGGGCTGTTGGGAGGGAAGCGCGCGAGCGTCGACGCCGGGAGCAACAGGCGCGCGCGTAGCGCTCCGGGGCCGCGCACAGGCTGACTGACCGCGGCCGCCGAGAGGGGGCGCGGCCGGCGCGCGCCGACGTGGCAAGGTCCCGCCCACCCGCGGCTGCGCAGTGGCGTCACCGCGCCCGCCCAGCCCCGCCCCGCCCCGNACACCCAGGACTGATCTCCTTTAGGATGGACTGGTTGGATCTCCTTGCAGTCCAAGGGACTCTCAAGAGTCTTCTCCAACACCACAGTTCAAAAGCATCAATTCTTTGGTGCTCAGCTTTCTTTATAGTCCAACTCTCACATCCATACATAACTACTGGAAAAACCATAGCTTTGACTAGATGGATCTTTGTTGGCAAAGTAATGTCTCTGCCTTTTAATATGCTGTCTAGGTTAATCATAACTTTTCTTTCAAGGAGTAAGCCTCTTTTAATTTCATGGCTGCAGGATTTATTGAAGAGATGCTGCAAACGTCCCCACCTGCCACCCCTGAGAGAGCATGAGGCAGCGCTTTGAAGCCTGGAAACCTTAAAGGTCTTGGAAGGTTGAGCGTTTGTGCCCAAAGGATGGCTTTGCAATGGGTCTTGATTCTGTCCAAAGCTGAGTTGGTCTGGTGCCCTGAATCTCATCCTTCTCGACTTCTCAAGCACTTTGCCACTACTCGTATCCTCTCCTGCGCAGTCAATCCCACCGTACTAAGTGTTCACACATGTCCAGTGTCGTTTTGAAATGGAAACACCGCCACCTGTCTTGACCATATGTCTAGCTTTGACAGCACAGCTGCTGGAAGACCACCTCACCCACTCTCACTCCTCAACCCAGTCCAATCCATCTGTTCGTCATCGAGCTCCACAGAGGCTGCCACCCGCCAGGAAGGTCCTTTTATCAACTCCACTCGTAACCTCTCTGCTGCCCAGTCCAGTGGTCACTCTTCAGCTCTCCTCCTCATTGACTTCTGGGCAGCACTTGACCTCGCTGACGTCAGGCTTCCATATCGCTGCCTTGATATCCAGTGTTTGGACTGGATACCTGCTGCTAACTCTCAGTGGGGTTGGTTGGCTCCTCTTGTAGATTTCTAAACACTTGAGAATCCCAAGGCTCAACATCAACTCCTCTCCACCTCTCCTTGGTTTCCCTGGCCCGTGAGGCCCCATTACCATCTGTGGGCTTGTGGGTCACAAAGCTGCAAACCCATCTTTCTACACCTGTCCCTCCACTAAGCACCAGACTCCCATTCCACTGCCCCTCAGCCTCCCTCACTGGAGGTCTCACCCAGTGCTGCCTAGCTCTTTACTTCAGGGCCTGCATAGAAATACACACACTACAGGTGGATCCGCAACTTCCCCCCATTTCAGTAGCACTGTTAGCAAGAGAGCTGTTGGCCAGGCAGCAGTCATGATATAGTTGTCATTGTCTTGCATTCACATCCAAACTTGCAGACAGGTGTCAGCAGCTTTGAAGAAAATCCAAAATCAATAGTGGGACACTCTTTGAAGAGATGCTACATCACTAACACTGTTGATATAACAGAGTGAGGAATACACAGACACAAGCAATCTGGATTCTGAATAGACGCTTGAAGGACATGTAAACAAATTAATTGTATGAATAATTTCCGTGAGTGCTATACGGTTAAAAACTTAACTTTAAAATTACCATGTCTAAGAAGTGCAGGAAAAAAATATGGGTTAGAAAACACTGTGTTATAGTTTAACTGGCATCATTTTTTCCCCTTCAGTCAGTCAGGTCAGTCTCTCAGTCATGTCTGACTCTTTGCAACCCCATGGACTGCAGCATGCCAGGCTTCCCTGTCCATCACCAACTCCTGGAGCCTGCTCAAACTCATGTCCATTGAGTCAGTGATGCTATCTGAGCATCATCCTCTGCCTCCTCCTTCTCCTTTTGCCTTCAATCATCAGGGTCTTTTCCAGTGAGTCACTTCTTTGTATCAAGTGGCCAAAGTGTTGGAGCTTGAACCTCAGCATCAATCAATCCAATGAGTATTCAGGACTGATTTCCTTTAGGATGGACTGGTTGGATCTCCTTGCAGTTCAAGGAACGCTCAACAGTTTTCTCCAACATCTCAGTTCAAAAGCATTAATTCTTCGGCACTCGGCTTTCTTTATGGTCCAACTCTCACATCCATACATGACTACTGGGAAAACCATAATTTTGACTAGATGGACCTTTGTTGACAAAGTAATGTCTCTGCTTTTTAATATGCTGTATAAGTTGGTCATAGCTTTTCTTCCAAGGAATAAGCATCTTTTATCTTTTAATTTTGTGGCTGTGGTCACCATCTGCATGATTCTGGAGCCCAAGAAAATAAAGCCTGTCACTGTTTCCATTGTTTCCCCATCTATTTGCTGTGACATGATGGGACTGGCTGCCATGATCAGTTCTTTGAATGTTGAGTTTTAAGCCAACTTTATCACTCTCCTCTTCCACTTTCATCAAGAGGCTCTTTAATTTCTCTTCACTTTCTGCCATAAGGGTGGTGTCATCTGCATCTTGATTCCAGCTGTGCTTTATCCAGCCCATCATTTCACATGATGTACTCTGCATAGAAGTTAAATAAACAGGGTGACAATATATAGCCTTGACATACTCCTTTCCCAATTTGGAACCAGTCTGTTGTTCCATGTCTGGTTCTAGTTGTTGCTTCTTGACCTGAATACAGATTTCTCAGGAGGCAGGTAAGGTGGTCTGGTATTCCCATCTCTTTAAGAATATTCCACATTTTGCTGTGATCCACATGGTCAAAGGCTTTGGCATAGTCTATAAAGGAGAAGTAGATGCTTTTCTGGGACTCTCTTGCTTTTTAATGATCCAACAGATGTTGGCAATTTGATCTCTGGTTCCGCTGCCTTTTCTAAATCTAGATTGAACATCTGGAAGGTCTTGGTTCATGTACTGTTGAAGCCTCGCTTGGAGAATTTTGAGCATTACTTTGCTAGTATGTGAGATGAGTGCAATTGTGTGGTAGGTTGAACATTCTTTGGCATTGCCTTTCTTTGGGATTGGAATGAAAACTGACTTTTTTGAGTCCTGTGGCCACTGCTGAGTTTTCCAAATTTGCTGGCCTATTGAGTGCAGAACTTTCACAGCGTCGTATTTTAGGATTTGAAATAGCTCAACTGGAATTCCATCACCTCCATTAGCTTTGTTCCCAGTGATGTTTCCTAAGGCCCACCTGACTTCACATTCCAGGATGTCTGGCTCTAGGTGAGTGGTCACACCATTGTGGTTATCTGGGTCATTAAGCCCTTTTTTGTGTTGTTCTTCTGTGTATTCTTGCCACCTCTTCTTAATATCATCTGCTTCTATTAGATCCATACCATTTCTGTCCTTTATTGTGTCCATTTTTGCATGAAATATTCCCTTGATATCTCTGATTTTCTTGACAAGATCTCTAGTCTTTCCCATTCTATTGTTTTTCTCTATTTCTTTGCACTGATCACTGAGGAAGTCTTTCTTATCTCTCCTTCTATGGAACTCTGCATTCAAATGGGTATATCTTTCCTTTTCTCTGTTGCCGTTTGCGTCTCTTCTTTTCTCAGGTATTTGTAAGGCCTCCTCAGACAACCATTTTGCCTTTTTGCATTTCTCTTTCTTGGGGATGGTCTTGATCCCTGCCTCCTGTACAATGTCATGGACCTCTGTTCATAGTTTTCAGGCACTGTCTATCAGATCTAATCCCTTGAATTTATTGTCACTTCCACCGTGTAATCATAAGGGATTTGATTTAGGTCATACCTGAATGGTCTAGTGGTTTTCCTTACTTTCTTCAATTTAAGTCTGAACTTTGCAATAAGGAGTTCATGATCTGAGCCACAGTCAACTCCTGGTCTTGTGTTTGCTGACTATAGAGCTTCTCCATCTTTGGCTGCAAAGATATAATGAACCTGATTTCGGTGTGGCTTTTTTCCCCTTAGTGGTACATAAAGCTGTACGTTAAGAGCGCTGGCAGTTTAGAGTCAGTGACCCATGATATTGCTAGGAACCCTGTGAGTAAAAGAAGGGACCTTCTGAGGAAGGAATTAACTACCCGGGGGCCCTGGAGGCTCTGGTCACCACTGGGCTGCAATGAGGACTGAGAGAGTCCATATATTTGCCCGAGACCTGTTTTGGGACAACACTGATCAAGACGCTCTAGTGTAACAGCTGTGCCTAGTTTTACGTGTAGAACCTGAACTCCTGATTCACCCACCTACCCTCAGAGACCTTCCCATCTAAAGGAGAATCCAAACTAATAATTACAATGAGAGTACCTGCCTAATCCCTTGCGTTTTTACTGCAGAAAACACTGTGATTTAAGGAATTGAGCTTGAAAAAAAATACCCATTTTCCCTTGCAGCTAGGAGTGGCCAAGAGACAGTTCTGGCCACTGAAATACACATGGAAGTCGACTGGGGTTTTCTGGGGAAGTTTCTACATTTTTGATATGAGGACCACTCTTCTTCCTGGTGACTTCATTGTTCAGATGGCCTTGAATTCAGACAGAAGGTAGAAGCCAGAGCGATTGTACTGCACCCATGAGGCAACCAAAGGCATGAAAGCTGTATACAAGAGGTGGCAGAGCAGAAAGTCGGAAGGAAATAGGGCTTTGAGATTCTGCAGAGGCTTTACAGAGCAGCTGACCCTGCCTCCAGACTGTTTTGTGTTGTGGATCCTGTTAGATCCAGCCCCTGTTGATGGTGTCTTTACATGCAGCCTAATGCAACCCCTCGCCGGTGATGGGCCTGCCTGTCCCCAGAAGCTCCTCTCTCACAGCAACTCTGGACACCGGCCTTTCTGATGCTCCTGTCCTATGACAAACCAGTCCCTCCCTTTGGGCCTTAACATTAGCTGTTTCCTCCAGCTAGGACCATCTCCCCCAGATTCTTGCATGGCTAACACCTCCCCATTCTGGAATCAGGATTTGAAAGGGCCTATCCTGATCACTCCATCTAGAGAAGGCAGCCCAGGCCCTTGACTCTCTCCACTTTGTCTTC